TCAGAGATGAGATTTTTACAGAGTACAATAAGAAAAATCAAAGGATGAAAATAAGAAGCAAACAAATCAGAAACTTAAAGACAAAAACTTCGAAGGTAAATTTACAAATATCAGAACAAAACGTAATGAACACATGTTAACGATAAATGAAGAGAGATTCCTAAGAAGGTTTTGAATATGAAAGTAGAAGGAAAACATGCAAGAAGGGACCTGATCAAGATGGAAACAACAGGTTATGAAATATGAAACACTGACACAAGGAAGAATATGGGAAATAAACGATGTGTCAAAAAAAACTGGACTTGAACAACGCTTTAAAATCTTTGATAGTGATGAGGAACATTTAAATGGAGACATTTCAAAATAGACAAACCACTTTCAGTACAAAAAATCAAATAAGTATTACTAACATATCATCTGGCCCATCTGGATAGGCAGGAAGCACATCAATATTACAGTTACATCGAGGGTATTCACACCCCACTGAAACAAAGTTTATATTTACCTTAATCCGACATGGATCTGAGCAGATTAATCTCTTTGTAAGTGCAGAGCTTAATTGTGAGGCAACAACCCTAGAAATAAAATGAAAATGAATTAAGGTACCATAATATACACATTATTGTAGCTAAATTTTGTTGACAGAGAAAACACACTGTATGCCACCAATTTCACTACTTTCTATTCTACATCTGAATACCCGAGTATATCAAAGGAGACGTTCGGTATATGAAGTACAATAGATACGCACTTGTTTTGAAAGAGTACTGCACCTCCTAACACACCATTCTTCTCTCTACAGCACTGGAGAATCTGCAATGCCTCCAGAAAAATGTTACTAGCACTCTGCAATTTATAAGATGGAAGTGAGCGTTACACAAAATTATTTCAACATTATACAGAAATGTAAATTTAATTTTTTTTTAAAAACATCTATGTTTAATTTCAACACCTCAAAATCAATACCAAATGTCACTACATAAATGTGAACAAATTCAGGGCACATATAATTTCATCTATAAATTTGTACAGGCTTTATCAGATGAGAGACTTTTTCTGAACTCAAATTGTTCTTCTGTGAGGATACAGTTACAGTTTAAGAAATAATTTACTCTTGTATGTAACATTCTTTGGGAAAGTACCTTCATTAAGTGACTTATTACAGAAATAACATAAAGGAACAATAATACAGTCTGATAATTTTGAGTAATATCTGTTGATATTTCATCATAACCAACATACCCTCTAAACCTCAAAATATAGGATTGTGATGAAATCTAGCATACATATTGTGTCCCATTACCACCCACTTTTGTCTGATTTAATTTCTGTCAAGTGGTTTTTGAAATACAGAGTGTTAGAAAACCCACCAGAGTAAAAAAGTGTTAAAAAGAGTTGTTTATAAGAAACTATTTAAGTAATTTAATATACTTCTTGCAAGTAAATTCTCATTCTCAATATTACCATTTTCTGTGGACAACATGAAAAAGTTTCAAACAAATTCTGACATACACAGCACAAACACAAGGCATAAATATGGCCTCCATATGCTAAATGCTAACCTCACAAGTTATCAGAAAGGTGCTTACTATGTAAATATCAAGTTATTCAGCACTCTTCCATTGAGCATTATCATGATATAAAAGTAAGCCAGTGTCAAAAGATTACCTTTTATCTCACTCCTACTCAGTAAAAGAATTTACTACAGCTGAAAATTCTTAAATATTATAAATATTTATGTAAACAGTTGTAAAATAAATATTTATTCTTGTATTGGTACTGTATTTGTAATCCTATTATGACGTGTTCCACAGTTTTATCTTGTACTATGAAGGACCTATGGTGTATAAATAAATTCCATTCTATTCTGTTCTATTTAATTTTGTAAATGTCTTTCTAAGTATATGTGCTGATTACTTCCTGAATGTGTAAATAGGAGTGTGGAGCAGTGAAGGTAGGGGAGAGGGGAATGGAAGTGAGTTTTCAATTGTCCCTGAAGATATTTCCAAAAAAGTGAATCACATGGTTGCAAGATCCATACATCTCCTGCTTGACAATGACAAAATTATTAATGGCATACATAACAAACGTATAATCTTATGTTTTTTAAAATGTAATGTCATGTTGCTTGTCTCAAACTGCCCTGAAAACTTGTGCCAAATAGAGAGGTAGGTTTATGCCCTAGTTACCAGACAAAGTGATAAAGGCAACACTGTTCTCAGCACAGAAGATTGTAGGACACCAGTCACCAAGACATATGTGCTTAACTTTTAACAAAGAATAGTATTAGTAAATAATTCTTCATCATAGTACTCACTTTTGGAAGTCTGACTGTGGGAATGTTTCCAAATATGTTCGCTGCATATGGTAAAATAGGAATATATGTCTCAAATATCTGATTCAATTTATTTGAGAACTGATTCATACCAGGACCAATTACTGAAGAAACAGTTTCAAGATCTTTATGATAAAACTGTATCAAGTGATTCAATGTATCTGCACGGTGCACAAGAACCCAATCTGGAATATTTTGATCTGTTCCAGTGGTCTGTTGACACAAACAGAATAATTTAATTATTAATACTACTTGTAGTATACAAATATAAATCATGTACCGTTTTTGTCGCAAGACAATGCAGCAGTCACTTCTTACCAGAATGTAACGCCCAAACTGCCGTATTACAAACTTCCCACTGTTAAGTGAAATTATATTTGGACAGCTGAATGATGTGAGAAAGAACTGAGTTGCACCCATGAGTTGCCCACATAATGCCAGCCTCTGCTGATCATTCACCCATCCTGGGTGAAAATAAAGTACAGCTTCCTGTGGATCATCTTCCTCCCTTTGGCACCGCTGGGTGTCATATACAAATACAATAAACAATTCCCTGCAAAAGAAAATTCTTCCAATTACACATTTCAAAGTTATTATGAGATTTCAAACAAGATCCTAATCGTGCTTAAATGAACGATTTTTGGGCATATTACAAAGCGCTATACTCATAAATTAACTTACTTTGCCATTTTTATGCGTTTATAAAATTAATGTTGCCCTCCTTTAAAAACCTAAGTGCTCATACATACATGGCCCTTTAAAATGAGTAATGCTCCCATCTTCTTGGCTGACTTATTGTAAACATAGCCCTTAAAGTAATTTCATGAGATTAATACTTCATTAATGCAAGTCGGCAAATATGCCTTTACTATACATTGCAGTAAAATTTTGTTTTAAAATTATTAAATGACCTTATATACACGCATAAGAAGAAGACACAAACACTTAAACAGGAGCCATTTTCGTTCATAAAACAAGTAGCGCATCCTAGCGGTGGAATTTTTTCTTAATAATTGAATCACATTGAGGTAGATGATTGGGAAGAAAGAATAGAATATATAACGGAATAAAGAAAATAGTGTGTGGGTGCTTGTCATTGGAAAGTTTATTTCCAGAGTTTTGTGTTTAATTTACAATTTTCTGTACGTGTTGTCTTTCTCTACCCTACACTTATTTTTAAGATTTCGTCTAACAATTTCTTACGAAATTTAAGGTCGGACTCCGGCAAGAAGTTGTGACGTGATGGGAATTGCATTCAAATAATTTATTATTCCACATTTCACGTAAATACTGATAGAGTTATTGTATTATTACTAAGTGTTGGTAGTAGTATTATGTCGTGTTCCACATCCGTGGCTTGTATTATAAAAATCAATGGACTAAATACATTATTCTATTGCAGTGTCAGGAATATCCATGAACAGTATTGGAGAGAACTGCAGTGAGCTCAAGAATCAGTATGACCATTGCTTCCTTACTTGGTTTTCTGAGAAATTCCTGAAAGGGGATACAAATGATGAAGTGTGTGCCCCTTTTTTCAAGGTATACCAGCAGTGCGTTAAGGTATGCCTATATTGTAATAATTTAAATTTTGTTAAGAATAGAGATGTAGATCTGTCATGAACGAACGGACACACATTATTACATTCCTTGGAACCTGATTAGACCAGTAGAAACTTGTCCAACCATGTGTAAATATCTCTGAATGTGTAAAATTGTAGTAAATCTGTCATGACTAGTTTATACGAACAACTGTAACATGTTTAAAGCTGTAGAAACTTGTCGAGACCTGTCTAAACCTCTATGAATGTGTCGATATCATAGCAAACCTGTCAAGAGTGGTTTACACTAACAAGGTAGAATTTACAGTAGCAGAGATAACATTTTTAAGGAGAATAAACCTATATAAGAATTTAAATAGACAACTTGGCTGCTGGATTAGCAGATAACAGAAAAAGATGGACATATTTTAAGAATGAATGAAGAGAGGCTCCCAGTGATAGGAATAACAGAGATGTCACACAGAAGGAAGAACATGGGAACAAACTGAGGCCTTTTGTTAAAAAAAAGGAGGCAGGTGGAGAGATTTGGTAGTCAGATAACCCACTTAGGAAGAAGTATAGGAGGCAGGTAGAGAGATTTGGTTGTCAGATAACCCACTTAGGAAGAAGTATTTATGCATGTGTCCCCATGATCTGTAAGTAATTGGTGACATAAGTCATCTCCATCTAATTTTAATTTTATCTTCTGAATCTTTCTTCCAGTTTATATTGTGGCCATTATTATGCAGTGCCCCCTCCATCTTGTTTTTATGTATGTTTAGGTTTGATTATGCATCTTTCAGTTTGGATGTTTTGTTCTCCAAGAACTGAAAACCAGTTCTCTCAAACCCTCTACATCTCAAAACTTCTAATTTCTTTACAGAAAGCTATGAAGGAACACCACATTGATTTGAAGGAAGTTGAAAAGGACGTACTGGGATCTGCAGATGAACATGCCCCTCCACCAAAAAATACTTGACAGTCAAAGCAAATGGGGTGGTGTGGCTGGTTATTTTCATGCACATTGCCCAAGGCCCTGCCTTGCCAACAACCAATTACTGATAAAGAAAAGCAAGAAATAAAACATAGGTGGTCACAGCATATATTAGAAGCTGAAACAGCTGTCACAGATATGTAGATTATATCACAATTTAATGTATTCCAGTTTCTTTTCTTAGCTTACAATATTACTGGTTCCAATTTGTAACTTATTAAAGGCTGTCTGTCCTACGAAAGGATCCTGCAGGTCTGAGGCAGAGTATATAGTCTGTTGTATATTTTATTGCGTGTATATGAGGAGTTTTGTTTTAAAGTATAATTTTTTTCACTAATGTACGAGGCGTGTCCCAAAAGTAAGTTTCCCTGGGGCCGTTTACAGTAACAAAACACAATTTCATGGAAATATTTATTGCAACAGATACAGCAAGTGTCCAGCTATTTTTCAACATATTCGCCACCGGAATTGAGACATTTGTCATACCGTGGGACCAACTTTTGAATACCTGTGTCGTA